AATTATTTTGGTTTTATTAAATTAGAGGCGGTTGAAACCTTATTTGCAGGGAGTCAAAAAGCTTAATTGACAGCTTATTTTCCTGACTTATAAAAAGGGATATTTGGCTAGCTTGTTGCGAAAATCATAATGTTTCCACGATTACACTTTATTGTAGAATTACGGTACACGATGATCCCACAAAATATACATTCCCTATGGTAAATTCGTTTCGCAAGGTTTACATAGCATTATTCCATCTTTCTTTTTCCAGCAGATTAATGACTTTAGTTTTTCATAGTAAACCCACCTAAATTTTACAGTAAGAGTGTGCGATTCGAGTAAGATTCCTGTAGTTAGCATGTCAAACAACCACAATAGACCCCTTTTCAGACATCCGGGGCATTGATTTGTAGCAACAATCTCTCAGAAAGGTCCCATCGTGAGGAATGGATATGATTTTCTCGAAAAACATATTTTGCCTTTAAACGTAGCATCCTAGAAATTTTAGAGCCTCTTGCAGCTCACAAATTAAGCTTTAGGTTGAACTTTTTAGGTTAATTTTCACCTTCATTTACATCCATTCCTAAATAATCGGAATCATCAAATAAGCTAAGTATAGAGAAATGCTTCTTCTTTTAAGCGACAAAACCGCCAAAACTTCCTAATTTTTGGAATTCCTTTGAGTTTGAAGGAAACAACACGAACTTATCGAAAGCGTACGAGTGGGGGTCCTTTACAGATATTCTCTGTTCTTTGATAACAATCGAAAACAAAGCATTCTGCCGATGTTAGGACCTCGAAAGCCACCGGAAGCTTAACAAACGACTGGTATCATTTACATCACCACACGTTCAAAGGAAAAGCTTCAGTGAGATTAAGTAATGATTTGGCGGCGAGTATTAAGAGGTTTCTTAATTTCAAGTTGAGTAACTGTAATACATCTCCTTTCAAAAATTTGGAACTTAATTATACCATTTAAACGTACTCTGGAGCTAAATTCAAGCAGAAGTACGGTAGTTTTTTACGCAGGTATTCGTATAAATGGCCAGTACAATTAGCATGGAAATTCAAATTGGGAGAAAAACAAAAATTGCATTCTACTTCCCTGCAATTGCAATTAATCCCAAAAAAATTTAGATCTGCGGATTGTATTCATTCTGCTCAAGTTATGCACCCTTTCATAGCTCTATTTCAATTTTTAATTTTTATTTCAAGTTCTGAGACACTATGTGGAAACAGGCAGAGGAAAATCCTACTCAAACCTTCAACTTTACTTGGAATTATTGGAAATTTATATTCCCAGTTAGCTAAAAAGTATATTTGCACCACAAGACCCGACACCATCAGTTGCTTGGCAACGATTTCAAGCGCATTAATCGCCGCTGTCACTAACCAGGGCTGACCCCGATGTCGCCTTAGTTACGCTGTTTCTGCACCTTCTTAGGGTTAAACTCAACATCGTCAAAATTTGAATTTGAAACGGAACTCTGACCTTTAAATGGCGATTCTCTGCAAAATTCCAGGTTGAAACCAGTGATTTGAATGACTCAACTGATCAACTACAACGCACTCAATGATTTTCTGGACAATCAGACTGATGACATTTCTTCAATATATCAGTGGTATGAGAGACTTTCAGAGGTATGCTTTGTAATAATTAAAATTCACGTTCTACTCTATTAAGCGCAAGAAATAAATTATCATAACTTTTTTCCTACAGTATGACCTCGAAGGTACAGAATCTCCAGCAGAATTGGAAACATTATTTCATGCTATGAAGTGAGTCTTTTACTCAAGGTGAAGATCTTCAATTAAGAAATTGTCTTTTTGCCAGATTTCTAATGAGTTTCTCGTTCACTGCCGCTGAAGAGTTAAGAGAAGTAGCTGAGCGCGAAGCTGCAGCAATGGCCGAGAAGGAGGAGGCTTGGGAGGAGCAGAAAATTGCATTGAAGGTGAATGTCTCGAAAAAATTGGAGAAACCCAAGCTATACTGATCGATTTTTTTTCTCTGGAATATCTTACTT